CCTGGGCGCCCCCCCCCCCCCCCCCGACTCCGCGGAGAGGAGACCCACACCCAGCCTGGTTGAGCCTGAGGGTCACTCCTGCTCCAGCCAATTCTCACGCGGGTCCTCGGACTTTTAATGTTCTTTGAATAAACACTTTATTTTCTAATAAAATAAATAAGCCTTTTCCTGCTCCAGGAAATTTCCTTCACGTCGCCGGAGAGGAGAGGAAGGGAAGATGGCTGGATGGGTGGGGAAGATATAATAGCCCTAATGTTCCCTCCTCACCCCGCCCCCCGCACTATGCAAGGCGGCACCAGGGGGAGAAAAAGCCAGACACAGGCGCCCCGGGCTCCATGGACATCTGAGCTAGCAGAAGGGACTAGAGGAACCCAGAGGGGGATGTCAGATTCTTCCTAAGGAGAGGGCATTATAAATGGGGCTCTGACGTATGAATAAGAGTTTGCAAGATGGGGATGGGCATCCCAGGCAAAGGAATGGGGACTTGTGAGTCCTGAGAGAAATCAGTCAATCCACAAACATTAATTGACTACCTACTGTATGCCAGGCTGTATGGGACGTGGCTGTGAGCAAGACAGTGCTCTTGGAAGCTATGAGGCTCTGAACCCAAAAGGTCTGGGTTTAGAGCCTGCTTGGCCACCGGTGGCCGTGTGACTTTGTGCGAGTGACTTAACCTCCCTGGCCTCAAGTTTCCTCCCCCGGAACCCACCTCAGTCGGAGGCTGTAGGGAGGTTGCACACTTTGAAGACCACCTGATACGGAATGAGCTCCCCCGAAGGGCTGGGCTGGCAGCTGTTGGGAGCCAGGGCGGAGGGCGGCACACATGGGCAAGGGGTGTGGCCTGAGTGGGCCCCGGGTCAGTCCTGAATCCCGGTGGACACGTGAGGATCCTGAGCCCACACAGATCCCGAGGACCAAGCCGGGGCCGGATGGTCCTCCCACTTGGTCCTCCCAAGACACAAGGCACCGACTGTGTGTGGGCAGGGGGGTGGGGGAGGTCTGAGTGTGCCTCAGTTTCTTCATCTGCAAAACGGGGGGAAAGCCTCTAGTTGGGAGACGTCTGGGGAGCATCAACCGCCCAGTGCATCATCGTCGGTGCCTGCATGGACGGCAGTTTACAGGAGTCGCTGTAACAAACAGGGGCGTTCCAGGCGGCGACGGCTCCAGGCTCCAGCGTGCTCACTTTGTCGCCTCAAACAGGTACGGCGTTGAGACTTCAGAGCCAACTGGGGCGCCTGGGGTGAAGCGTCCGACCTCGGCGCAGGTCATGATCTCACGGTTCGTGGGTTCAAGCCCCGCGTCGGGCTCTGTGCTGACGGCTCACAGCCTGGAGCCTGCTTGGGATTCTGTGTCTCCCTCTCTCTCTGCCCCTCCCCTGTTTGTTCTCTCTCTCTCAAAGATACATACACTTTTCTTAAGTGAACGATTCAGTGACGTGGCACAGCCACAATGTAGTACAACCATCACCTCTATCTAGTTCCAGAACATTTCCATCACCCCCCAAAAGGGGACCCCGTCCCCATCAGCTGTCACTTCCCCTCCCCTCCCCCAGCCCCTGGCAACCACCAACCTGCTTGCCGTCTCTGTAGACCTACCTGTTCTGTACATTTCCTATGAATTGATCGCGCACTATGTGTGGCCTTTTGTGTCTGGCTTCTTTCACGCGCCGTGTTTTTGAGGTTCAGCCGTGTCGTAGCGTGTCAGCGCTTTATTCCTTGTTATGGCTGAGTAATAGTCCATTGCAGGGGTTGCTAACCTTAAAAATAAGCAAATATTTTACCAGCAAAATTGGTTTATTCGAGCTCAACAGAGGAACTGCAACTTGGGACACGAAAGCTACGGTAAAACCTAGGCATGTCCAAGAAACAAAGGAGAGGTATGTTGTTTCATAGAGGAGGAGGAAGCCCGGATGGGGTTGGACTAAAGTCCATCGAAGAGTAGTGGGAGTTGAGGGGACAATTTCTTGTAGGAGGTGCAATGCCCCTCCTTTCCTGTTGGGGTCGCTAGTTGATGATTCTTTCCCCTCGAGGATTCTTCTGTCCGAGTCTGTAATTGACCGTCCTTCCCCTCACTGATGTTGAGGGGTAGGGCTCCCTCTCCGGGGGCCACTTTTTGTGTCTGTTTTGGGTTTTTTGTTTCGTTTTGCTTTTGTTTCAAGGCTTCCTTTAAATTCTAGTTAGTTACCATATGGTGTAAATTTGCCCAGATCTGAGAGCAGCCAACTAAAAATATTTATTGGCACCGGGGCTCGTTGCTGGCTCAGTCGGTGGAGCGTGAGACTTTTGATCTCGGGGTTGTGAGTTGCAGCCCCATAGTGGGTGCAGAGATTACTGAAAAATAAAATCTTTAGGGCACCTGGGTGGCTCAGTTGGTTAAGCGTCCGACTCTTGGTTTCCGCTCAGGTCACGATCTCATGGTTCGTGGGTTCAAGCCCCAAGTTGGGCTCTACGCTGACAGTGTGGAGCCTGCTTGGGATTCTCTCTCTCTCTCCCTCTTTCTCTCTGCCCCTCTCCTGCTAGCACGCACTTGAGCTCTCTCTTTCTCAGAATAAATAAACTTAAAAAATATTTTTTAATACAAATAATTTTAAAAATTAATGTATCGGCACTTATTCCAACAGGGGAGAAAAGTTCTCTCTATGGAGGCAAACCCAGAGTCGTGTATGCCTCCTGGAAGTCCCTGCTTAAAGGGGGCATGAAAACAGAAGAGTGACTACGGCAGGAGTACGCTGAAGGAATTTACCAGATGCATTTGGGAAGATACGGGGCAGGCGACAGCTAGTGAACTTTTTGCAAAACAGCACAACTTCTAAGAAAAGGTATGCAGGCCGGCTCCGTGGACATCGTGGGGAAATCGTCACGTCAGGTCACCGGCTTCGGTTCTGGGAAGTCTTTACTTACGAGTCACCAGATGGTACGCAGGCCCAGCCAGGGTTAGACAAGTCACGTGAACCCAAGCCTGTTCTCTGTGGCGTCTGGTGGCACAAGGGTGGTTAGCGGTACCTGAGAAGGGCCTTCCCAGCGAGGCTGAAGACCGCCTCCCCGGAGGTGTCTCTTCCAAGAGGTGAAATCACCAGGTTGGCAAGGGGTGATGCTTAAGGTCGTCGGCCCCCAGGGAGCGGGCTGTGAAAAGATCTTTCTACCACAGCAGGGTTAGTTTCTCCTAGAAGCTATTAGGGTTTTACAGTTGTTTTTTGTTTTTTTTTTTTAACGTTTATTTATTTTTGAGACAGAGAGACAAAGCATGAACGGGGAAGGGTCAGAGAGAGGGAGACACAGAATCTGAAACAGGCTCCAGGCTCTGAGCTGTCAGCACAGAGCCCGACGCGGGGCTAGAACTCACAGACCGCAAGATCATGACCTGAGCCGAAGTCAGCCGCCTAACCGACTGAGCCACCCAGGCGCCCCTTAAAGTTTGTTTTAATGTCAATTATTTTTGAGACGGAGAGAGAGACAGAGAGACAGAGAGACAGAGCTTAAGCAGGTGAGGGGCAGAGACAGCGGGAGACCCAGAATCCGAAGTGGGCTCCGGGCCCCAAGCTGTCCGCACAGAGCCCGACGCGGGGCTC